TTCGTTTCGGAAGCTAAAGCGCGACGTGGCTAGTATCTTTTATTAAATATTATTTTTTATACAACTCTTCTATCCCGGAAACATTATCGGATACCTATTCTTGAAACTAGGCGATGACAGCTAGCTGGAGCTGAACTGAAGAAAGTTATAATTATACCTTGTTTTGTATGTTTTTTCCTTCTACTTTGTTACAGAAGACGCCGATTTATTTATTATAACAACGTAACGGTACTAGCTGACGCCACGAGCTGTTGAGGTAACCTTGCCAAGGATTGGCAAACCTAAGTAAATAAACAGATCCAAAGTCTTCAAAGGCAGAATTCAGAGAATTGACAGTCATTACAGTCAAGGCAGGTCAAGCGTACCCCCCAAGATTCTATTAATGATTTGATTATTTAAAAAATGAATCTGTTAATTGTTCCCGTAACTAGTGTCAAATTCAAATCGGCATTCTCGCATCCCGGGGGCTGAGGTACTTGGGTTGAGTGCAGCTGGCCTCTCCGAGCCCCTAACCCATTATAATCTCTTCTGTGGCCAATTATAGACCCCAACTTAGTCACTTTTGGGCAACTACGTAATTTTCGCGATCTCAGCTTAGTCACTTTCTATTTTTATGAATTGACCTATTTTTTAGATTGAACGAAGGGCACTTTACTTTTCATCTACATTGAAAACATTCTCGTACGTTTGCTAACCGTAAATGTGAAGAGCTGCACTGTTTTACTCCCCAAAATCTGAAAATGTGCGACCCACTTCTAGTAAGTCTATTGAAAATGCGATCCCATTATAGTCAATCCAGTCGTGAAAATGCGACCCCAATCCACCGGTACATCTCCATTAGTCTTACGAGGAAGTACCCCCCCTCCCGGGTCTTGCATCATGCGTAATGAGCAGTGAATATTTTACGAGAACTTGTCTGTATTTGGTCAGATTAAAAGTCTTTAAATGGGTAAAATTTCTTGGAAGACATTTACATCAAATTCAGGGAAACTGAGCTGGTCGAAATTTCGTTACCGAATCGCGTGTGAATTCAGGGCTCACTACACATGCAATTGCAAGAATGCAGAGATAAAAAAGAAATTATCGAGTTCTAATTATTTTATTATCTTTGGGGGTACCCTTGACCTGGCTTGACTGTAACCGTTAAAGCCTCACTAATTCCACACATAATCTGTCTACTATATTAGACTTATATTTCACAAACTGCTCTCTAAAACAACAAAAAATGAGTTAACAGGAGTGCAGTTATCAGTCAGGCGATTCCTATTACATAATATTCCTTTTAAGCAGGATATTAAAGGAAAAACGAGTCTATTTTTGAGTGGAATTAGCTAATCACGCTAACGTCGGTCGCGCATCACCAATCATGACAAGCATTTCAGGAAATGCTACCGCAGTCATTAAACGTGACGATGGATGACCACTCAAGAAACCGCGTGAAACTCCTCTTTGCCGTTGCAATTTTTCCCTCGCGGCGGCCTCATGTATAGGAATCCGGATTCCGCAATCCAGGAAATTTTCGCTTATGGAATCAGGAATCAGGAAAAATTCGGCTCGCGGTTTCGGAATCCTGGGCTTTGAAATCCGGAATACAACTCAAGGAATCCGTAATCCCGTTAACGATCGGAATCCGTAATCCAAGTGTCACTGACAAAGAACCAGGACTCCAGTTGCTGGAACCCGAAATCTACGGCGTGGAATCCAGAATCCAAGACTGTATTCATTTGGATTTCTTTACATACTAGGTCGATTTTTCCGTTGTTATTTTCCAGTTTTGTGATTGGTGTTTATTTGGAAAGGGTACGCTTTATTATCAATCTCTTCAAGCCTTTCAGAACACTTGGAAGGGCACTTTAGAGATCGCATGTTTTGTTTCAACTTTGGTAATCGGAACTCAATGTAATAGCAATTTCAATTTGCCGATTTGGACACCTTTCTAAAGTTCTAACCATAAATAAGAATACCACTGGGTTGTTTTTGCCATTTAAAGACCATTTTTTTTCCAATTAAGCAGCGTGATATCACGCCATTATCGATTACATGCTTTCGCAAACAAAGCAGGAGACCATTCTTTTAAATGTAGCTTTAGACTGGCATTCTTTCCTTGCATTATACAATAGAACTTTGCTTGAGAATCGTTCGAGATTCCAATTTAAATTAAGGAAAAGAAGAAAAAAAGGAAGTCATTTGCCGGGCTTGAACCATTTTGATGAAAGACTGTCCTTGTCAGTTTAGAGTGTTTCAACATGACGTCACGGTGGCCATTTTGGTGGTCCAAAACAATGAAACGGCGGCCATGTTGGTGTACCAAGACAACCCTGTGGGAATTGAACTCTTTTGTTACGTAAAAACTTTCTTTTGTTCCCATAAATTAGCATAGATGCTGGCCACGTGAGGGAAACGCTCTATATTGTGCCAGGCAAAGCTTTTCGCTGTAAAAGAGGTCATTTAAATGTAACCGGATTTAGCCGTTTCTTTTTAAGGTTAAACATGAGATTGACCTATACACGAAATAAGGAAGTGCGGGGGACAATTAATCTAAATAAGCTTGGTGAAATTACAGACAAGTGATGAATATAGGAAGAAGGCTTTTGTCAGCGTTTTAAGTTTGTGCTTGTGTTTATACTTATATCTCAAGGTGCTACAAGTTTAGTTTCTAATACTTTAAAGGAGATATAGCCACGCACGGCATCTTGGGCCATTTAGGGAAGTCCTTCTGAGTTTTTGATAGGCCCAAACCATCGAGGAATGAAGGGTTAATTGGTGATTGTGAGCTAATAGTCTTGAACTTCGAAACCGGAAATTCTTCTTTCCCAGCGTAAACGGCGTTTAACAACACTTATAAGTGAGATTTTTGTAGAGAACTATTCCAATTAAAGGTTTGCGGGCAGCTTAGGTTAAAACATCAGGATTTATTGGCAGTGTTAATCTCTTCCTGGTTATCTTCTAGGCACAACAAATCTGAATGTTCATTTAAGAGATTATTAAACCCAACACAGTGAACATCATGTGAGAAGACCTCACCAGTCTAAAAATTACCCCATATTGTATGAACACGGTTATCTCAGAGAAAATAGAATAAAACAAGTGATGACGTCACAAAACCTGAATTTGTGAAATTATGGGATCTCTTCGGTTTTTTAGAGGGGGCAAGATGTGAAACGCCTCATTACCAAAGAGCAGAAAGTCACCTAGCAATAATTATTATATGTTAAATGAGTCAGAATATGATCTGCAGGATTATGCAGATTGAGGATGCCAGGGTTGGTTCCCGGGGTGTCCTCCGATTCAAGTCACAGGGATGATCGAATGGGGGCAAAAGTCAACCCCTCCCCTCCCCCGCCCAAAAAATAAATCCCTAGGGCTTCAAAAAAAAAAATCCGTGGAACAAAATCTAACTCCAAACAAGAGCCATGATAGGACTATTATGGCTCTTGCTCCAAATAAATTCCGTGCCGAGTTTCCGAGCCATAAAAATCAGTTCCACAGGAACTACGCGGCCGAGATACGCGGGAACTATCAAGAATCTTCAGATTGTTTTGAATATCCCCAAAATCCCTTCTTAAATCAAGCCACCCCCAAAAAAATACTTTCCAAAATATTCTTACCCAAAAAAAATCCGGAAATAGGAAATTTCAAACCTCAAAAAACCCTTCCATCACCCCTGTCACTTGAAATCAGGAGTAATCTTCCCCCTCCCCCCGTGGGGGTTGGTTATCGACCGAGGCGGATAACACCCTCTGACCGAGATCTGTATAATTCTTCAGCTTATTCGAAAGTCAGTCTTATTATTCATCTAGAATCATTTTGAATTTAAAAGCTTGCATAACCTCAGTCATTGTAAAGTTCCCGTCTCTATTCACCTGTTCCTTGGCAAATTCAGGATAGAACTGAAATGTTTGTCATAGCAGATATAGAGTTGTATACCGTATATTCTCAAATAAGCGCCCATCCCACCCCTCCAATAAGCGCCCCCTCCTCTCCCCCGTAACTAGAGAGTATAAGGTGATGTTACACGGGTGCAACACAGTGCAACACAGCGTTGTAATGTTGGAACAATGTTGTAACAATTCGAAACAACGTCGCAACAATGTTGCAACGCTGTGTTGCGCTAAAAATCATCGTGTGCGAATTGTCTCATGTAACATCACCTATAAGCAACGATGACGGCGACGTCAACGAGAACAACAAAAACAACGACTCTGCACGTGCATCACGCTTTTTTGTACATTTCTTTGCCGTCACTGCACGACTACGACGTGAAAATATATACCTAATTTCATGTTTTGTGGAGGACGTGTTTGAACACAGGACAACAAATTTCTTTTCCTTTTGCTGAACTTCGATATAGTCTTTTAGGATTCAACTCCAGAAAAAAAAATGGCAAAATTTGACGAATTGAACGAGATGGGATAAGCGCGATAAAGTTTGAAGCAGCGAGAATTCTTATTTTAAGTGATTTTTTCATAGCCATCGCCGTCGTCGTTGCTTAAGTTCCTTATTTTCTTAAATAGTAGGGATGATAATGATAATAACTGTTTCTATTATCACATTATTGATAACTCTGTGTGTAAACTGTTTAATTGCACTAAGGTCCGATGTAAAACGTAATTACCGAAAAAAAAGAAAAGAAAAAAAGCCCCGGGTGCTCACTCGAGGAAAATGCGGTATTCGCTGTTTATGCTATGTTTTTAGGCCGAAGTTCGGCTTGTTTTCTTCGCAAGACGTGTCAAAATTTGCCCCCTTTTTTCAAGTTCTTCCAAACTCATCTGATCATGAGCTAACACAACCTCGTTTTCAGGGTAACCTGGTTGCCGTGCCTTTTTCTTGCCATTAGTCCTACACTATTGACGTCATTTTACTAGACATCGCCAACGTCTTCCTAATTTAGTCAGCACTAGCTAGCTTGCGGAGATCTTCATATTAATAATAAGAATTGGCGTAGCACTATTTTTAGCCTGCAAGCAAGCTCTCCATTTAGAGTAATCGCGAAAAGTCACCTGAGAGCCGCAAGCGAAAGGAGACGCTCCCTCGAGTGTGCTCTCGCGGATCGCTTCTGATCGCTTCTCGCAGGCTACATCGTTTTGCTCGGCTGATAACTTCATAGCAATTTCGCTCATCAGATGATAACCTTGCTCAAGTTTCACTGAAAATTTGCAACTAATCTGAAAAATTCTCATATTAATAACTTAACAGATTCTTAATATCAGTCTGGCACAGTCGCTCTTGTCCTATTTCCTTGGGGAGCGCGTAGTCTCATAAAGTAAAACAACGCTGGATGTTTCGTGATACATGATACACATATCCTCACCATTGTTTGTTTTTTCAAAATGAGTGATTTTAATCAGCACAAGATTACAACTGTGTCAATTTTTATGAACATTTATAATAATGAAACCTATAGGTACAATGTACTTTCTAAAAATTAGCTTTGAACATGGCGCCATTGCTTTTCGAACGGCGAATGCGTCTTTCGTCTTGCTGAGTAAGAAACTGATGTCTTTCCTCTGAATTTCCGTACCGCTTGTCTTGCAGAGACTAAACAAAAAAAAAAACATAAGGCTGACTATGTACGTTGTGGTTCAATTTTATCCTTGGTTTAGATTTTATTTTCTTTTGTTTTAAACTCACTATCATACATTACCATACCCAAAAACAAAGGGAAATAAATATGAATCGTGAACATGAATCTAAATGATTCAGATGTGATGGTGATTTTTCAGCCTTGTGGTACATACATGAGCCAGGATTTTTTTTTTTGGAGTGACATAGGCGGCTCAGAATAAAAAAAAAACATAAATCCGATCTCGGCGAGATTTGTGATGGCGAAAAGATCTCGCCGAGACCTCTACGAGACTGATTTGTAATGTCGCAGCGAGATCTCGGACGAGATAACTGAGATCTCGCTGAGATAAAAGAGATCTCAGTAATTCCAACAAAAGTCGAACCTATATGAACTTTTGGTTACTGTTCCAGATGTTAACCAGGGTGAACTCGTATTTTTTTTTTCTTCCGAGCCCGGCCTGTTCATGGACTGAAAAATTCTCATCAATCAAAAACGTTCTATAAAATATTTAGTTTTTTACCCTAAAGCGTCCAAATCCTCTCCCTTTGACATTAACTGGCCACGGAGCGGCGGCGTCTACATCTTGATAACTTACAAGCAGTACAACTAGCAAAACACATGAGAGAAAAACCAGCGACGACGAGATTTTCTTCATACCGACGAACAAAAGGATGACAGCTAAGTGTGAACGGTTCCTGTATGTACTGCATAGAGTCTGTAACTTGACGCCTTTTGTACCATTCTAGTTGGACGCAATTTTAGCTTACTCTCTATAATCGTCTTGTTAACTGACACGTATCTTTTTCACTTTTAATGGGTTTTTAATACCTGCAAGAGATGCATATAAATTTTTGTAATTGGTCATGCGATCCTGCGATGTAAAGTCAATTATTCTAATGGCAATTGATTTTTTGTTTTCCTATCTCTCTCTTTTAACTATTAGAGAAGGCTAGTTCATGATGATCATTACCCATTTCGTATCCTAGCAAATCTAAAGATAAGGCAACAAGGAGGTATATGACTCGGGCATGTATTAAAAGTGGAACCACTCATTCGTTATTATTGACAAAGGCGTCAGCGATTAAGGATTTTTCACATGACGCCACCAAAATTCAAATTAAGAAACTACCGATTCTTCTGAGTTTCTACTTTCATGAGGTATTACAGCTCCTAAAGACCTTTATTTATTTTTGTTTCCATAGGGTTTTTCGTTTTGCCATAGAAGACACATGAATTTCCAGGTTTTTGCGTACGTGACGTGCCATTTAGCTGGCGGCCGGGAAAGCTCTAATGTGGGTTATAAACGTTAGTGATTGTTTGATATTTTGCTATGATCTGAACTTCCCTTGTCTTAGAATAAATATCACTTAAATCTTAATGCGCTCCCCGAGCAAAAAATTCACACATAATTAGGAATACTTAAAAACAGATGTTTCTGTTGGTTTCTGGCGGATATATTTGTGCCCTTCAAAGGGACACCAGCATGGCGTCTCCATTCAAATTTGGCTAAAGCGTCTTTCCGAATATCTCGCATATGAATTATCGCACAGACCTGGTTCTTGGCGAGGCTTTTAGTATATTTATTTTCTTATGGTTTCTAGATTCTGGACTTTCTGTATTGACTGGCTTGCACTTTTATTTTTGATTTTCTATCACGATTACCTCGATTTTTACGACTAAAATTGAATACATTAGTCATTTATATAATTTTAAAATGACGGATCCAAGATGGCGGATTGTTCTATATCCTTCTTTGATAGGAAATGACGCCATCATGACATCACTTCTATTGTTATTGGTAATTATGTGTTAGCCAACTTCTCAGTGATTCTTGCAAATTGATGGAACTTGGATTCTGCCAATAAATTCAACAATGTGACGTTATGCCTTGTTGTTGGAAATGATGAGTTCATTATTCTGAGTAAGTCTGTTGGCCGTGTCGATGAGCGGTTTTGAAGTTATAGAGGGAGCTCCGAACCTCCGAAGCTTGTCATTTCGGCATTTCAGTAAATATAACTTCCTTTCAGAGGTCCTGGAAGGGAAACATGCTACAAAAAAAAGAGATTCTAGGGCGCTAAAACCATGGTGATTATGGTAAACGATAAAGTTGATTTACAAATCAGCTGCTTAATTTGTTATTTCAAAAACGTGCCTACCTTCCGAAAAGGTTAGCAATTACAAAACGCGTTTCTCCAGAGTTTAAGTCTTTTATGAAAATTTTACAAGGCTGAAGTTTAGTGTGATTATTGTCATCAGTCTGTCAATGAGTATTTATTTTTGAAACCACCGAAACATAAATGTTTAATGATACACGCGTTGTAGTGTTAACCTGCCGAATATAAAATTTAAGTATTTAACAAAAATAATCGGGACAAAATGTTTTACAGAGATGCTCTGATGTAGACCTTATTCTATGAAGATCATCGCAACAAAATCTTTTATATATATATTATAGTCGATATTTTTCTGCGGGGGTATTTACCTAACTGTTAGGGAAGAGATTTATTTATCTTGAAAAATTTCTTCAATGTTCCGGTTTTTATTTCCACGCTGTCAGGTGGTTCGCCTCTGAAAGCCCCGCGGCAACTAATTTCGGGTTTACATTAGCTGTGGCGTCTTAGAAATAATCAAATATAGTTTAGGCACCATTGAAATTAACCAAGCAAATTGCTTTTCTCTGTGCCATAGCCGCACAATTTTATGAAAGTATAATTGGTCGTTTTCGACAAAAATGACATACAGCCTAATATAAGAAGGTCCACCAGTCGGTAAACAGAGAGGGTATCCTGTGTGCCGAAACTGTTGCTGGCGTTTGAAAAAGCTGAATTTTCAAGCTCTCACTAAGTAGCTACTTACTAACAGGCTGAAACTTTATTTCGACTTTTCTTCATGCTAACACCCTAGCTCCTAAGGCTGAATAATTCTTCATAATTTTTTATACGGGAGCCAAATTGAAACATTTCATACTTAGAAAAACATGCTGAACTCTTTCTTTAATTGTTTGTCTGTTCCACGGCAATTTCAGGATATATAAGGAAATGTTTAGTTCAACAGGTGTTCTTAAAATAGCAGAGGTCATCCTTCCAGCGAACATTTTTTTGCTATTCTTGCTATGTTTTAGGCAGTAATTTGGTTATTTCTTTTTCAAAAACTTGTGAAATCCCTTGGCGTTTTCTTCACTCTACCAAAACAGCTGAGCTACTGCGCCCTCTACTGTTGCTTTCTATAAACATAGTTAGCCGCAAACGTGACTCATCTTTGGGGATATCGGTAAACATCATCCAAATTAGACGATCGGAAGTTGGTCAATCCAATCAGAATTGGAGAATTATTTTGAATGAATAACTGTCATTATAATAGCTTTTACCATTTACCCCTAGTCTGACGTTTATTAATTAACAGTTAATGAATGAGGCTGAGTATCTTATGAAGAATTATGGAGATCGAGGAGGGTGTTATCGGTCGAGGCCGTAGGCCGGGGCGGATAACACCCTCCGAGATCTCCATAATTCTTCATATGATACGAAAGCCGAATTCAATAACTGTTTTATTATTCATTCAAAATAATTCCTAGTATAAAAACATAGCTAAAACATGCTTACCTCCATCGATCCATCGACGTTCAGTTCATCTTCGATAGTGTACGTTTAGGTTTGTCCAGCTCCGCAAATATTCTCCAAATAGCAGATGTCGCCCTTCGAGTTGCCTTCTTGCTGTTCTTGCCATGTTTTTAGCTATTTTTTGGCCTAGCTCTTACTCTTGAAACGAGTGAAATGTCCGCCATTTTTTCAAGTTCACATTAGTTCACAACCAAAACAACTCAACCTCGTCCCCAGGTCTTCTCGGTTAACGGTGCCTTAACCTGCGAAAACGCTGCATTTTTGACGTCATTTCCTCGTTAAAGTCAAAGTTCTTCCAAATTTGGTCATCAGTAACTGGTTATGGTGAATTAAACGTGTGCTTTTAGCCAATCAGAATCGGGGAAATATTTTGAATGAATAATAATTAATTTTGAACTATAAGAAGCATCAGAAAAGTTAAATATTGCATTCTTGATTGACAAGAAAGCCCTAATATGTTTTATCAAAGAGCTTCCTCACGCTATTTGCTATTATTTTTTGAAAAAGCAAAAAGGTGTTCCTGTATCTGTTGAATTCCAAAAATATTAAAGGCCTAGTTTTTTTATCAAATATTATATTTAGACATTGAAACTGTTTCCTGTCGTCCGTTGCTAGGGATGGCAAGGATCAAGAAAATGGATTGAAACTTGAAGAACTTGAAAGGACCAAGTTTTTCAAGTTTTAAAGCTATGCCTGCAAAAATCACCAAAAATAATTATTATGGTTAGCGCTCACTTATGACATTTTTCTGACATCTTGTTCATAATTCTACGGCCGTGATCATTTTACGTTTCTGGGAAACTGCCCACCTACCCTTCCCCAAGCCAACATTTCGCCCTAAGTGAGAAGTAAGTGTTAATGTTGTCTTAGGGGAGGGGTAGGTGGGCAGTTTCCCAGAAACTTAAAATGCAATTTTACAGGAAAAATTTGAGCATTGGAAAAGGTACTAAGTAAGGAATTCAGCACAGAATTGACCTAAAACAGCAATATTCTCGAGTCAGAGTACGTTTTACTGTAGAAAGACATAAAAATCTTAATGTTAACAAGCCTGCAAATAGACACAATTCTTATTTAGGCTTTCACCGGTCGGATAATGAAGACATTGACGCCAATAAAGCGTTTTCACGTCTTTGTCTTTGTCTTTGTTGTTGCTTATTATTACTTTTTCACCATGATTTAAGGATTATTGAATGAGCTTGAGTATGGTAAGAAGAAATTATGCAGACCGAGTATTATGTCATGCATAATGGTAACAAAATGTATGAAGGGAGATTTCCATGAAGATCGAAACCGACGCCACCGTTCCCTCTTATCTGTGCTGCAACTGAAACAAGGTAAATCTCATTTTCTCTCTCGCGCGCGCACGCGTGAGCCTCTTAACATCTATCTAGCCTACAATTGAAGCATCCACTTCATAACGGAAAGATTTTTAAATAAAGCTAACGTCTACCATTTAAAGGCCTTTCCAATAATGAATTTCTGCATTTGGCAGAAAGTAGTTTTTGCCATTTGCCAGCAAGACTTTGGGAAAACCGCTACGTGCAAAGACGTTTCATCGTATTGCTGGTTTTCAGTGTCACGCCATTGAAAATAGATCTAAATAAAAATCAAAACCGTTCAATAGATAAAGTCCAGAATCTGGGAAATGAAAGGAGTTAAATATACCAAGTTCCTCGCCAAGACTCAGGTCAGAAAAATATTTCGTATAAGAGATATCCGAGGAAATGATTTACCCAAATTTATAGAGATTTGTATGGAGACGCCATGCTGGTGCCCACCTGGTTGGGCACCAACACTGCGGACGGAAACCAGCATAAACATCTGTTACCGAGTTTTAGTACAAAGGGGTGAATTTTTTCCTCGAGGAACTCATGAACATTAAAGTAATACTTTTTCTAATCCATAAACTGTTTAGATAACAAAATTCCCCGA